GGGGTTGGGTCCAAATAGATCAGAACAGATGGAGCAGGGAAACAAAATGAACCACCTCTCTATAAGCCTTTCTTCATAACCACCTCTGGGAGAGAGAAACCACGGAGAATAAAGCTGAAAAAAAAGATTAAAAACAGTCACAGCCTAGTAACAATCAGAGCTGCCTGACCCTGGGAAATTAACAGAACACAAGCAGAGCCAGGTGGGGTAGTATTCCCCTTATCCTAACTCCTTGGGAGGGTGAGGCAAGAGGATCTCAAGTTCAAGGCCAGCCTGAGAAACTCAGTGAAACCCTGTCTTAAAAAAAGGTCTGGGGGTATATGTAACTCAAGTATAGAGTGCTTGCCCAGTAAGTGCGAGGTCCTAGGTTTATTCCCAGTACAGCGGAAAGAAATAAAACAAAATACAATTGAAAACCCAGTTCACTTCATTGTATGTACATATTACCTTAAAAAGAAATTGACTTCAGTGTAGCTCAGTGGTAGAGCAACTCATCTGGCAAGCATGAGGCCCTGGATTCAATTCCTAGCATTATGCAGATTTATAAAAAAAAGGAAACGTATAGCATATAATCTATCTATGGTTCTGGGTATTGGATCCAGGGCCTTGTGCATGCTAAGCACATGCTCTACCAGCTTCATACCCAGTCTACTGGGTATAAATTTTGTTGACTACTTTTGACACAGGAATCAAATCTTTGTGGCTAAAATTATGGAACCAGCCCAGATGCTCCATCAATAGATGAATGGATTAAGAAAATGTGGTATATACACACAATGGAGTCGTACGCAGCCATAAAGAATGAAATTTTGACATTTACCAGTGGATGGAACTGGAGAACACCATGCTCAGTGAAATAAGCTAGACTCAGAAAATCAAGAGTGGAATGTTCTCTTATATGCAGAAGCTAAAGCAAAATAAGGGGGGAAATGGGGTGGATTGGATATCAGTGGTGATACAGGGAAGATCAGTGGAATAGAGGAGATTGAGAGAGAGAGGGAGGACATACGGGAAAAGGGAGGAAATGTGGAATGAATCTAACAACTCATGCCATGTGCAAGTAAAAATACACCATAAAAAATTCCACCTTTATGTATATGTCAAAATCACCAATCAAAAATAAATAAATAGGGCCTGGAGTTGTAGCTCAGTGGTAGAGTGCTTGCCTCACACACATGAGGCACTGGATTCAATCCTCAGCGACAGGTAAAAATAAATAAATAAAGATATTGTGTCCATCTACAACTAAAAAAAATATTTTTAAAATAAATAAATAACCAGGTGCAGTGCCTTGTGCCTATAATCCCAGGGGCAAGGGAGGCTGAGACAGGAGGACTGCAAGTTAAAAGGCAGCCTCAGCAAGTAGCAAGGCCATTAGCAACTCAGCGAGACCTGTCTCTAATAAAATATAAAAAGGATTGAGGATGTGGCTCAGTGGTTGAGCACCCCTGGGTATAATCCCCTGTACCGGAAAGAAATAAATAAAAAATAAATAAGTAAATGGAAGATTTGTAGGGCAGAGGAAGAATGGGGGAGGGAGGAAGGATAGGAAGGTGATGGGCACCACGGACTGAAATGGAATGAATCAAAATCCGTACATGCATGATTTTTTTTTAGTTGTAGATAGACACAAAAGCGTTACTTATTTTTATGTAGTTCTGAGGATCAAACCCAGTGCTTCATACGTGCTAGGCAAGCGCTCTACCACTGAACCATAACCCCAGCCCCATGCATGCATGATTTTGTCCAAAGAACCTGATTACTATGTATAACTATAATGCTCTAAAAATTACAGCAACTTAGCAAGAGCCTGTCTCAAAAGATTTGGGGATGTGGCTCAGTGGAAAAGCGCCTCAGGCTAAAGCCCCAGTACCAAAACCAAAACCAACCAAACAAAAAAAACCAAAATTCTTGGCCAAATTTAGACCAGCAAGTCGGGTCCCTGGAAACTAACTCGTTAGAAATACTGGCTACTAACCAGAACCTCACAAGGGTAGTAGCAATGGTTAGCAAAATTTGAAATGGGCAAAAAGCCAATGGACAAAGTAAATTTTTTATAACTTTATTGTTTATTTTTATTGTTTATGTGGTGCTGAGGATTGAACCCAGTGCTTCATACATGCAAGGAAAGCACTCTATCACTGAGCCACAACCCCAACCCTGACAAAGTTAATTTTTATTTAAAAGATGATATTTAAGAAAACTCTTTAAGTTTCACAACATCAAGTGTGAGTCAGGATGCTGAGAGGCAGCTTTTCTCATGATCTGCTGTGGAAACTTCTTTGGGAAGCAATATGATAGTTTTTTCAGAAATATAGAATGCAGGAAACCACTAACACCTGCTTTGTTTTGAAAGAACACAGTTGACGCTCTGTAACCATGGGTTCTACATCAGTGGATCGAATCAATTGTAAGTTAGAATATGCTGGGGGAAGAAAAGCTACATCTCCAGCCCTTTTTATATTTTGAGACAGGGCCTCACTAAGTTGCTGACACTGTCCTTGAACTTTCAATCCTCCTACGTCAGCCTCCTGAGCTGCTGAGATTACAGGCATGAGCCACTGTGCCCAGCTCCTATGGAAATTTTTTTGAAATATATTTTTTTTAGTTGATCTTTATTTACTTATTTTTATGTGGTGCTGAGGATTGAACCCAGTGCCACACACGTGTGAGGCAAGCGCTCTACCACTGAGCTATAACCCCAGCCCTCCTATGCAATTTAAATCATCTCTGAATGACTTATTATAACTATAGAATGTGAATGCTAGAAATTAATTGTTATACTGTATTGTTTATAGAGAATGATGACAAAAAAAACTAGACTGTACATTTTTTTAATTTTTTTTTAAAGAGAGAGAGACAGAGAGAGAAAGAGAGAGAGAGAATTTTAATATTTATTTTTTAGTTATCGGCGGTCACAACATCTTTGTTTGTATGTGGTGCTGAGGATCGAACCCAGGCGGCAAGCATGCCAGGCAAGCGCGCTACCGCTTGAGCCACATCCCCAGCCCAAGACTGTACATTTTCAATGCCTCCAAATTTAATACCCGGTACCAAAAAAAAGAAAAAAGAAAAAGAAATAAAATCTACAGGAGGATGTGCATTGATTCTATGCAAATGCTACACCATTAAAAAAAATGTTTTGCAGTTATAAATGGACAGCATGCCTTTATTTTGTTTATTTTTTATGGGGTGCTAAGGATCAAACCCAGTGCCTCATACATGCTAGGCAAGCTCTGCCACTGAGCTACAGCCCCAGCCCCATACACCATTTTTTTAAAAAAGGGACTTGAGCATCTAAGGAATTTGGAATCTGAGGGGATCCTAGAACCAATCCCTAGCAGATACTATGGAACAACTGTCTATGTGTTTGTGTTCCTAGGATACAAAAGCAAACAGGAACCTGGAGCAGTGGCACATGCTTTTTATCTCAGAAGCTCAGGAGGCTGAGGCAAGAGTATAGAGAGAAAATTTAGTGAGACTCTTGTCTCAAACAAACAAACTAAAAACCCTAAAAAACAAATTATGGTACTGGGGATTGAACCCAGGAAAGCTTTACTTATGAGATATATCCCCAGATCTTTTTATTTTTTATTTTGAGACAAGATCTTGATAAGTTGCTGAGGCTGGCCTCAAACTTTCCATCCTCCTGCCACAGCCTCTGGAGTTGCAAAACTTATAGGTGTGTGCCCCCATGCCCAGCCAAAATTTTAAAAGGGCTGGGATATAGTTCAGTGACAGAGCATCCCTGGATTCAATCCCCATACCCCCCCACACAAACTCCATTTCCCCACCACTCCCCTGCACACAGGCAAGTAAGCAAATAGCAACATCTGCTGCCTCTGGCAGAAAGAACAAGGTAAGATGAGGGAGAGAAATAGAGAGCAGACCTTAATTAAGGCCTAAAGGAGACATGAATTTTTGCTACTTTGCATTTTGAATCATGCATGTTTTATCAAAAAAAAAAAGCCCTAATGTTTTCATTTGTTAAAATGTACCCACCAATATGGGGTACAGTTCAGTGGTAGAGCACTTGCCTAGCATGTGTAAGACCCTGAGTTGCAGTTTCAGCTACACACACACAAAAGAAAGAACAAAGGGGGGGGGGGTCAAGTTAGGATTCCAGTTCAGCCTGACTCCAAAACCTGATCTGGATCTTATAATCACTGCACTGTAAAAGCAAAATGTACATTGTAAATGCATAAAAGATGGGAGAGAGGGAAATACTCCAGAACAATAATAGTGGTGACTCTGGGGAAGGGGTTAACAGAGACAACTCTCAAGAGCTTAGCTCTGCCTGAATCATTCATGACTTGCATAATTTCTTAAAAATTATCTTTCACTGGTAAATACACCTTCAAAAAAGGGGGGGGGGAGTTGGTATGGTGATGCACCTGTGATCCCAGCTACTCAGGAGGCAGAGGCAGGTGAATTGCTTGAGTCCAGGAGTTTGAGGGCAATCTGAACAACACAGCTAAACCTCATTCAAACAACATAAAAGGAAAACTATAAACAAATGCTCATTTCTAGCAAATGGCAGGTGTGCTAAAAATGTTTAGTAGACTTAAGTCCTGCAATTACTTGAACGAATTTTAAAAATAATAAGATGGATTGATGGACTGAGAAAGCACTGAATAGATAGATGCACAAATGGATAAACAGGTAATAAATGTAATTAAACGTTAAGGTTGGGTATTTGGGATTCTCTATGCTATTCTCTCAACTTTTATGTATTTATAATAAAGTGGTTTTTAAAAAGTTGATTTCAGGGTTGGGGTATAGTTCAGTGGTAGAGCACTTGTCTAGCATGACTTAGGCCCTGGATTCAACTCCCAGAATCACCAAACAAACACAACAAAAACAAACAAACAAACAAAAAAACAGGTTTGGGATTATATGCCTATAGTCCCAGCTACTCAGAAAGCTAAGGTGGAAAGGTCATTTGAGCTCAGGAGTTCAAGACCAGGCTGGACAACATAGCAACATCAGGTCTCAAAAACTGTTGATCTCAATGAAAACAATTTTTTTATAGGGTCATAATCTCTTTTTTTTAAAAAAAATATTTTTTAGTTGTCAATGGACTTTTTATTTATTTATTTATATGTGATGTTGATCATTGAAACCAATGCCTCATACATGGTAGGCAAGTGCTCTACCACTGAGCTAGGACCCCAGCCCATGGATCATAATCTCTTATGAAACATAATGGAAAAAACATTGAGTAGGAAAAGAAAAGGGGTATTGATAGCTTTATGCCAGGTTGGGGAAGATTTTATTACCAAATAAATTTGTGCCTGGTTTGGAAAAAAAAAAAAAAAAAACCTTTTCACTCTCCAAGTTTGTTGGGGTTTTTTTGTTTGTTTGTTTTTGGTACTGGGGATTGAACCATGAGCACTTAACCACTAAGCCACATCCCCACCTCTTTTTAAATATTTTATTAGAGACAAGGTCTCACTGAGTTGCTTAATGCCTCGCCAAGCTGCTGAGGCTGGCTTTGAACTCACAATCTTCCTGCCTCAGTGATTACATGTGTCCAACACTGCCCGGGCATTACTGTTTTTAAAGATGAGATCTTGCTATGTTGCCCAGGCTGATCTCAAACTTGTGGACTCAAGTAATCCTCTAACCTCAGCCTCTTGAGTAGCTGATTCCACAGGTGTGCTTGAACAAGCCTGGCTTCACTTTGCAAGCTTTCTGACTTTGAAATGTTGGAATAAGAACTGAATATGGTACAGTCTAAATGATCTTACTCCTCAGAAAGTGCACTTCCAGGTTTCAGTGTAACTTCACCTGGACAAAAGAAGACAATCACTGGGCGTAGTGGTGCATGCTTGTAATCCCAGCAGCTTGGAAGACTGAGGCAGGTGGATCACAAGTTCAAAGCCACCCCCAGCAACTTAGTGAGGCTCTAAGCAACTTAGTGAGACTCTGTCTCTAAATAAAAATTTTAAAAGGGCTGGATGTTGCTCAATGGGTTCAATCCCTGGTGGGGAAAAAAGAAGAAGACAATCACAAGGCTATTCTTGTTAACCAAAGTGTCTTCCCCCAAGGAGAGGGGCCGCACCTGGAGATGCGGATCAGGTCCCGGACCGGGAGGTAAGAGAAGATTTCCAGAATGAGGACAATACCTGGAGTAGAAATGCAGAGGTTAGGACCCCATTAACAATTTTAATAAGAACCCCAAGTGATTCATATACACAGTAAAGTTTGATAAACTGATTTTAACTATTTAGATTATTAGAAATAATCTAAACATCTATTAACAGGAAAATGGATACATAAGTTAAAAGGAATGCACTTGATTTCTATGTGCTAATAAAACAGCATTATTTAAATAGAAAATTGTTCAGAAATTCATTCACTATACTGTATACTGCTTATGAACACACGTATGAAATGATGTGAAAGTAAGGTTAAAAATCTTCTTTATATTACTGGCTACTTATGAAAAGGATAAGACAACAAGTAGACCTATAAATGTTTTGCTGTGTACACGTATATTGTGTGTTTACATATACACACAGGTGTCTGTCACATGTATGATGTGCAGTAAATAAAACAAAATTTAGGTTAGATCTGCCCCACAGTGGCACACATCTGCAATCCCCACTACTTGGGAGTCTGAGCGAATAGAATTGAAAATCCCAGGGCAGCATAGGTAACTTGGTGAGATCCTTTCTCAAAATTAAAAAGTTAAAAAGACCACGGAAATCAGCAGCACAGGCCTTTAATCCCAGCGACTGGAGGCTGAAGCAAAAGGATCACAAATTCCAAGCCAGCCTCAGCAACTTATCCAGAACCTATGTCAAAACAAAACATAAGAAGAGCCGGGAGAGTAACTCAGTGATAGAGGGGTCCTGGGTTCAATTCTCAGTCGGACCAAGGGGGAAAAGAAAAAACAATGAGAGAAGAAAAGAAACAGGGTGGCGGATACAGCTTAGTGCTAGAGTGGTCACCTAACACAAGCAAGCCCTGGGTTCCGTCCCCAGTATAGTCAAAAAAAAAAAAAAGTTAAATCTAGGTGGTAAAGACATGGTTGTAATATCACCCTCCATACACTTCTGGATAGTTGAAATATTTCATAGTAAACACAAAGAAAATAAAATGCAAATGAGAGAAAGTGGAAATGGTTTGGTCGCACTACTCAGGAATTTTATTCAGAAAATCAGTTGACTCGGGAAAATAATTTCGCTACAAAAAAACGGTATCAGCGTCTGACAATGTCATCACAGACCAGCATTTCCTAGGTGCCGAGTAGGGCCAGGCACTGCTGCAAGCCCCTTCTCCGCACCGCGACCCCACGACCGAGCTTTTCTTTTAGGGGCTGGGACTGACCACGGGCCTCGCGTGGACTCAGCACGCGCGCCGGTCCCACAGGGATCTAGGACGGGGACGCTGAGGCCCTGAGACGGGCCCACACTGCCCGACTGGAAATCCCAGGCCTGCGCTGACCAAGGGCCAGTTCTTGCAGTTCCTGACACACCGTCCCAGGGTAGGAAGGCTGGTCCTCGGGTCCAACCAATCCAGACGAAGCCCTGGCCCGCACAACCGACCCCGCGTACCGTGTAGAGCGTCAAGTCGACATGTCGCCACAGCCACCGGTCGTCCACCAGCCTCTTCCAGCGGTGACAGACCCTGGGGGAGGGGACCCGCCGTTAGAACGACCCCGGCCCCGCTGGGGCCGGAGCCGCATCTCCGGGTGCGCCCCCTGCCCGGCTCTTTCCCCCGAGGAGAGGGGCCGCACCTGGAGATGCGGATCCGGTCCCGGACCGGGAGGTAAGAGAAGATTTCCAGCAGCACCGAATCCGGCAGGTCAGTAAGAGTCACCATGATCCCGCCGCCACGTACTTCCGCTTCCGGTCAAAGCGAAGTCGGGATTCCCTCGGGAATGCCTAGGCGGCGGGAGGGGCGGCAGCCGGACTTCCAGCACCCGGCGGGTCCTCCCGCTTTCCTCTCGCAGGAATGTGGTCAGGTTCCGGGACGGGACCACCTCAAGACCAGACCTGCTGGGGGCCCGGCTACAGACTAAGACCCAGCCTGGGCGGCGTCGCAGGGGCTGGGTGAGGCCCAGGGGCGGGGCTGGGACGAGGACCAAGCCCGGAAGGCGTGGTTTGGGCGGGAACTAATCGGGGGCGTGGCCAGGACGGAGGCTGGGCTGGGAATGAAGATGGAGAGTGGGCCAAAGAGCGTGTCCCCAGGCGTGGACCTAGCCCAGAAAGCCTGGTTCGGAAGGGGACAGGGACCAAGCTTGGGGCTAGGAATGTAGCCCAGCAAGCGCAAGTCCCTGGGTTCAGTCCCCAGCCCAGCAAGAAAAGGGAAAAAGATCTCACGAAGAAGCCTGGAAGACGGCACCGGGTTGGGACGGGCCCAGGCCCAAGGGTGGGACCGGGAACGAAGCTCAAGCCAGAAGGTGTGGTTGGTGGGCGGGAACAAGGACCAGGACCCAGACTGGAGGGCGAGCGGGTGTGGCCACAAGCGGAGTACCTGGCGGAGGTGTCTGCGCTTCTTCACTTAATGCAGCCTGAAGCCTGAGGCGGTGATCCGCGCCGCTGATCCCAGGGACCTGGACGGCTGAGGCAGGGGAATTGGAAGTTCAAGGCCACCCTGGGCAACGTGGGAGACCGTGTCTAAAAAAAAAAAAAAAGTCGGGAGATGAAGTTCAGTAGCAGCACGCCCGCCTGGCATGCGCGAGGCTTTAGGTTCGTCGATTCCCAATATTGGAATGTCCTGAGCAGTGAACTCAAAGGGAAATGAGACAAGATTTTGCTAGCCTCGTTATGATGAGATAAATTTATATTCAAGAAGTGCCACATGACTTGATAAGATTAAGAATGTGCGAAGTTAGATAAAGAGTGTGTGAATTTAGGGCTGGGGATGTGGCTCAAGCGGTACTGCGCTCGCTTGGCATGCGGGTGGGGCGCTGGGTTTGATCCTCAGCACCACATAAAAATAAAATAAAGATGTTGTGTCCACCGAAACTAAAAAATAAATATTAAAAATTCTCTCTCTCTCTCTCTCTCTTAAAAAAAGTTTGTGAATTCAGATAAGGGAAATTGTAGATAAGTGAAGACCTTGAGACCCTGTGTAGGCATTGGGTCCCACTTCCTCGTTCTCCTGTAAATGTTGGTGAAGATGCTCCTTGGCTCAAATCAGTAATACAGCTTTGATGTTTGTGGCTGTGGACTTCATGCAGAAGGAGTGGAGTTTCCTGGATCTAATTCAGAGAAACCTGTACATGATGTTATGTATAGTGATGTGATGCTGGAAAACTACCAGAACCTAGGATTGCCATCATTCCTGTAGCCTCTCAGGGACTTACTGTATTGCAAGTTTAGTGATGTTAACTCTGAATACAGTGGGAAATAATATAGTCCCTGCCCTAAAGAGATTGTCACTTACTGTGGTGGTTCTCAAAATGTCCAAGATCAATAACAGTGTTGTCATTATGTTAGAAATAATGACAAGGTGTGCACTACTATAATCCCAGCAATTCAAGAGGCTGAGACAGGGAGACACCAGTTCAGAGCCATACTGGGCAACTTAGTGAGACCTTGTCTCAAAAACAAAACTAAAAAGGATTGGGGATTTAGCCCAGTGGTAGAGGGCCCCTGGGTTTGATCCCCAGTACTAGAAAAATAAAATCAAATTAAAAACTGGAGTGACTAGGGGTGTAGCTGAGTGCTTAGTATGGGCAAGGCCCTGAGTTCAATTCCCAGTAACTCAAATAAAAATAATAATAAAAACAAAAGCAGTGTGTATAGTTTGATATACACACATGGATTCACATTCTTTCAATAAAATGCAAACTATTATGTCTTTTACTTTATACATAAAGGCCTATAAGGGGGCTTGGCTGCTCGTGTGACTCAGGGGTACAGCACTTGTCTAGCATTTGCAAAACCTTGGGTTTAATCCCCACTGTGACCAAAAAAAGAAAAAGAAAAGCCCTGTGTGGAAAACAAGTTGTTTATCAAACCTCTGACATAATCTGAAATGTTGTACAGTGCTTGAAAATACAAAGTCTATTTCTTATTGAAATGTATTATGGTGTCTGAAAGATTTATCATTTTCTTAGGAGGCTCCTGATAACACATTTGAGGATGCAGAGACTGTTTTTAGTTTTAATGGCATTTGCTGTGGGAGGGTTAGGGGACCATGTGCTGCTGTATTGCCTTTTATGCTGCTCACATTTTCTACCTTGTGCAAGTAATACCTTTAAAAAATAAGTTCCAAATGTGTATTTTTTTAAAAAAAAACTGTAGTTGTAGATGGACAGCATGTCTTTATTTTGTTTATTTTTATGTGGTGCTGAGGATCGAACCCAGTGCCTCTGGCATGCTAGGCAAGCGCTCTGCCTCTGAGCTACAGCCCCAGCCCACAAATGTGTATTTACACTACAAACCCCTTTGATATTTTTCTTCAAACAAGAGTGCAGATAAAATGCTTCATGTTTTGGCAATCATTCTTGTGATTGTGGAGGGAAAGACCAAAAGAAATGCACAAAGAAAACCTCAGATATCCCTGAGTTGCTGCTTCAGGTGCTCCCTGTTTCCAGAATTTTTGTTATGAGAAAAATAATCAGCTTAAGCAACTGTAAGCTTTCTGTTAGTTGAAGCCCAAAGCATTGCTAACTAAAAAGTTTGAGGCTCTTCTCTGGACCTGGAACACTGAAAATTACAACTCCTTTGCTTAGCTTATTGGTTAAGAAAAAGTAATAAAAGTGCAAAATAGCTGTACTTTTCTGCTGAGTGCTCATTCTGTTTGAGTGTTTTTACCAGTATCAGCTCACTTTATTTCCATAACCATGGTGGTTGATACTACCAGGCAGAAGCTGAAGCTTAGAGGTCGAATCACTTGCTAGAACTGCAGGGTCAGAACCTTCTGGTGCTGAGCCTCTGCCATTATCACAGTACTCCGTGGTGGTAATTACCCGGCACTGCTTTAGAATTTTTTTTTTTTTTTTAGTATTTATTTTTTAGTTTTCAGCGGACACAACATCTTTGTTTGTATGTGGTGCTGAGGATCCAACCCAGGCCGCATGCATGCGAGGCAAGCGCACTACCACTTGAGCCACATTCCCAGCCCCCCAGCACTGCTTTAAAAAAAAAAAGCCAAAAGCCAGGTGCAGTGGCACTTGCCAATAATCCCAGTGGCAGAGAAAGGATCTTAAGTTCAAAGCCAGCTTCAGCAAAAGCAAGGCGATAAGCAACTCAGAGAGATCCTGTCTCTAAATAAAATACAAAATAGGGCTAGAAATGTGGCTCAATGGCTGAGTGTCCCTGAATTCAATCCCCAGTATCCGCCCCCCAAAAAAAGCAAAGAATTAAAAATCCTAAATATGGCATTGGTTTTGTTCACTGCTGTATCATTAAGACTTGCAGAGATACTCAGATGTTTGGGAAAGGGATCTTCGTCATCCCTAAGATTATTTTACTTCTGGTGAATTGTGGGTGGGGCATTGCCTTTTTGTTTGGCAGAACCCAATCAACTATGCCCCTGGCTCAGGTATAGGGGATCCTAAAAACCATCTACTGGACCACCAGCACATGGGGGTGAAGGGGAGGAAGGTAGGTCAGGTAAAGAAACACATGTATAACTTCCTTCTGGATCAGAAAGGAGGAAACAAGGGTATCAGGGGCCTGCCCAACTTGCTCCCTGGGTCATGAGCCAGTCTCCACCTTCTGAGAAATATCCAACTCCCCCAGAAGGAGTAGCTCTGACAGACAGCATGATGGGGTTGCCTCAAAGGGCAGTTGCAGCCAGGTCCCTGCACAGGCATCCCAGAATTAGCATTACCAAGATTTGAGGAGGAGTCACACTAGGTGACACACTGTCTCTTGGGGTGCCTGTCATACCACTTGGGTCCAGGGAAGGAGTTCTGCAGTTGTGGCAGTCTCATTCAGGGACTTCCCATTGCCCACACCCACTCCTCAGTAGACCCTCACCTGTCTCCATGGAGCCCAAGCCCTCATCAATCCCAGGCTTAATGTTCGTCTTCTCATCGCAGCAGTCCCCACAACCTATTGCCCCAGCCTACGGCTCAGCATGACAACAGCTTCAGTGAGCTGTATTTTGTGTGTGTGGTGTTGGGGATTGAATCCAGGGCCTCATGTCTGATAGGCAAGCACTTTGTCACTGACACTATATCCCAAACCCCTTGAGCGATCTTCAAAATAAACACATAGAAAAATTTACTCTTATAAAATAAAATGTGTTCATGTTAAAAATCTGTAAAAGGGGCTGGGGATGTGGCTCAAGCGGTGGCTCGCTCGCTGGCATGCGTGCGGCCCGGGTTCGATCCTCAGCACCACATACAAAAACAGGGATGTTGTGTCCGCCAAGAACTAAGAAAAAATGAATAAATGTTAAAATTATTTCTCTCTCTCTGTCCCCCTCTCTCTCTCACTCTCTCTTTAAAACAAAAAAAAATCTGTAAAACACCAAAAAGTATTAAAAAGAAAATCAGACTCTCAGCAATTCCACCATCTAGTGGTAAGGACTGTCAAGGACCTGTGTAACCCAGTATTTCTATGTGAACACAGACATGTTGCTTTCAAACTTCTCCAGATGTATCAATCCCCTTACCTTACCCTCAAACTTCCAGCCTCTCTTAATCTATCCATTCTTCTGCAAACTCTTTTTTGGGGGGAGGAAGGGGGTTGTTAAATTGCCCAGACTTATCTCAAACTCCAGGGCTTAAGTGATCTTCCCAACCTGGTGTCCCAAGCAGTGTGGAGGTTGTTGGGAGTCTCCCTGAGAACTCCCCAGGCCTTTCAAACATGGTGGTGGGCAAATTGCCATTGGGCAGCTAGATCTCCCGGGGCCTTTCAGATAAGGAGCCCCTATGCAACATGGCAACGGGCAAGTTGCCAGTGGGCGGATAACAAGTTGTTTTGAAAACCTTCTAATTGGCCCTCCC